CTCACTCCGCTCCGTGCAGTCCACCCCTACCTGCTCAACAGCCAGCCAAACAAGGGGTTAAGGCTGCAGCCTTCCCTGCCAGGAGATGTTGCAAACATTCGGGTATACTTTCTCATCTGCAGTCAGCCCGGTAGCTCCAGCTCCTGCAAAGCCTTTAGCACTTGCAGAAACATTATTTTTCTCCCAGCTGTTTGGTTTAAACTTGCAGTTGACCACGTTGACCAGGTTCTCCTGCTCAGGATCCTAAACTTAACCCTGCAGGCTTTTACCTAGAATCTCTCCCTCTTCCTCTGCCGAATTTGTTTCCCCTGCCCGGTTCTGGAATGCCCCAGGGCCCTCAGTAACCTTGATGCCTCGTCCCCACTGGAACTTAGAAGCATCCTCACTGGCTGCATTACTGCACATTACCCTGGTAACCTTGTTTTTTCCTTCAACTTAAACTTCTCCAAACACCATCCCTGCTGACTGTGAAATTCTCTAGGCCTCTTATAACAGCTTTCCCAAACTGCCGTGTCACAAGAGATTTTGTAGAGGGCAAATTGGGGAAGGAAGGTTTGGGAACTCACCTGCACAGCTGCAAGGATCAGACCCAAGGATGGGGCTGCCGGCAAACTTCCCAGGGACTGTCTGCAACCAAGTCTCCTGGCCTTAAAGGGACAGGGCACTTTTCACCATATAAGGAAGACAGTTTCACTTGTCTGCTTTGGGGCCTGTTTGGGCAAAGCAGTTCCTTCTCTTGATGATTGCAGAGGCTTAAGCCTTCCAGAGAAATCTGGAGGCTGTCTGTTTTCAGGCATCTGCACCTAGTAGGCAACTTAATAACACCTGGATAAGGCACAAGAATGGTGTTTGGCAGGCCATTTTCAAAGGCCAGAAAATCCTTTCTATGGGGCTTGTCTCCCTACAGAAAAGATTTACGGTGACTGGGAAGACTTTCTCAATTAGATGAAAGGGCTTCTGCTTCTATTTCAGATTTGGCTTCCTGGAAGCCAAAGTTCCTGCTTATCACAAAGGGGAGAGCGGAGATCCTTTTCCTCCTGACTTGGAGACAAAAGAAAGAAGACTCAGGAGCTTGTGGCATAAGATTTTGATTAAGACGTATTAGTAGTGCTCCCTGACAATGAGTCAAGTGGAGATGATTTTGTTATTTCAGCTGGTGGAGGCCTTTCCTAAACATATAAACACACACAGTTCTCAACCAAGGCCATGTCCACTCCTGAGGCCTGGGCTCCTGCAGCTGAAGCTCACAGCTGTCAGAAATGAGAAGATATTTTAGCAAAAGCAAACATTTTCTCCTGATGATATTCAAATGCAAGTCTGTCCTGGCGGTTTGGGGTGGATTAAGAGCAATTATAGGAAAGCCTGGGTAGCTCAACGGTTTAGCGCCGCCTTCAGCCCAGGGCGTGATCCTGGAGACCCAGAATCTGAGTCCCAAGTCTGGCTCCCTGCATGGAGCCTGCTTCTCCCTCTGCCTGTGTCTCTGCTTCTGTGTGTGTGTGTGTGTGTGTGTGTGTGTGTGTGTCATGAATAAATAAATAAATTCTTTAAAAAAAAGCGATTACAAAATGTTAGATTCTAAGAAAAAAGCGGAGCTTAATTTACTTATCACTTGGGTGGTTATACACTTTTTTCTTCACTGCCAACTGGATATTGTTTCTTTATAGCCTGGCCAGTATGCCTAATACTTAGTATCTATACCATATATTTGAGATCTTTTAAAAAATTCAATTTGGCACCTGATTATATAGTATCAGACTATTCTCACATCTTAGCTTCTTACAGAGATTTTGATTCTTTAAGGACAAAGACCATAGTCTTCCATACCCCGCTTAACAGCTAGCATGGAACCATACAGTAGACTGGGAAATACTTGTTCAATTATATCAATTGGATGGGAGCTCTTGGGTGGCTTAGTTGTTAAATATCTGCCTTAGGCTTAGGTCTTGATCTCAGAGTCCTGGGATCCAGCCCTGCATAGCGCTCTCTGCTCAGCCAGGAGTCTGCTTCTTCCTCTCCCTCTGCCCCTCCTCCAGCTCATACTCTGTCTCTCTCTCAAATAAATAAATAAAATCTTTTAAAAATATTAAAAAATATATATCACTTGGCTGGAATCCAGGGTTTTCGTATAATGTCTGCATAGGTTTTTTTAAAAAAATATTTTATTTATTTGAGAGACAGAGACAGAGCACACAAGCAGGGAGGAGGTGCAGAGGGAGAGAGAGAAGCAGGCCCCTGGCAAGCAGGGATCAATCCCAGGACCCTGAGATCAGGATCTGAGCCAAAGGTGGTTGCTTAACAGACAGAGCCACCCAGGTGCCCCTATAGATTGCCTTTAAGTTTTGTTGACTGTTTCCTTTGCTATGCAAAAGCTTTTTATCTTGAAAAATTCCCAATAGTTCATTTTTGCTTTTGTTTCCCTTGCCTTTGGAGATGTGGCTAGCTAGAAGTTGTTGTGGCCCAGGTCAAGGATCTCCTTGTGTTCTCCTCTAGGATTTTGATGGATTCCTGTCTTACATATAGGTCTTTCATCCATTTTGAGTTTATTTTTGTGTATGGTGTAAGAAAGTGGTCCAGTTTCATTCTTCTGCATGTGGCTGTCCAATTTTCCCAACACCATTGTTGAAGAGAGATTATCTTTTCTCCATTGAATATTCTTTCCTGCTTTGCTGAAGATTAGTTGACCATAGAGTTAAGGGTACATTTCTGGGTTCTCTATTCTGTTCCATTGATCTGTGTGTCTGTTTTGGGGCAGTACTATATTGTCTTGATGATTACAGCTTTGCAATAGAGCTGGAAGTCTGGAATTATGATGCCTCCAGCTTTGGTTTTCTTTTTCAACATTCCTTTGGCTCTTCGGGATCTTTTCTGGTTCCACATAAATTTTAGGATTGTTTGTTCCAGCTCTGTGAAAAATACTGATGGCATTTTGATAGGGAATGCATTGAATGTGCAGACTGCTGTAGATAGCATAGACATTTTAACAATATTTATTCTTCCATTTCATGAACATGGAATATTTTTCCATTTCTTTGTGTCTTCCTCAATTTCTTTCACAAGTATTCTATAGTTTTCAGAGTACAGATCCTTTACCTCATTGGTTAGGTTTATTCCTAGATATCTTATGGCTTTTGGTGCAATTGTAAATGGAATCGGTTCCTTGATTTCTTTTTCTGCTGCTTCATTGTTTGTGTATAGAAATGCAACTGACTTCTGTGCATTGATTGTATATCCTGCAACTTTGCTGAATTCCTGTGTCAGTTATAGCAAATTTTGTGGAGTCTTTTGGGTTTTCTACATAGAATATCATGTCAATTGTCACTGTTCTTATTGCTCTTAGTTCATCCATCCTGCTTTAGTCCTTTAAATGATGCTATAGGCCTTGTGTCAAGAGGTTCTCTTGATGGGCCATTATCCCTGAAGAAGCTCTCAGATAGCTGAATGATTCACTGTAACTGGAGATGGGGCCCACAGCATCACATAGTGCACATCTACATTACCATTTACCCTTGAATTAACTGTATATCAAAGTGTTATCTTACGATGTCCAAGTTGTGGGCCTGGCTAGGATAAAGCATTATGTTATAGTGACATTTTTTTTTAAATTTTTATTTATTTATGATAGTCACACACAGAGAGAGAGAGAGGCAGAGACACAGGCAGAGGGAGAAGCAGGCTCCATGCACCGGGAGCCCGACGTGGGATTCGATCCCCGGTCTCCAGGATCATGCCCTGGGCCAAAGGCAGGCGCCAAACCGCTGCGCCACCCAGGGATCCCATGTTATAGTGACTTTGAAAAAAACGTATCTTACCAAATTTTTCTTATGTGAGAAGGCTTCCAGCAGCAAGGGTTCTAAATCTGACAACGTTTATCAGTAAACAAACAAATACACATCCCAGAAGATGAGCTTATTCAATGAATAAGGGAGAAAATATTGGTATAAATTAACAAGCAATTAAAAAATTATATAAAATGCTCACAGCTGTTGAAGGTTGTATTAAATTAATGCATTTATACCTATAAGGTATTGCAAACTCAAGGAAGGGAAGCTATAAAAGGCAAACTGAAAACTTGATCAGGAGGCATTAATATTTTTATAGCCTTTGACCCAATATCATATATTTTTAAAAGGTTTTATTTATTTATTCATAAGAGAGAGAGAGAGAGAGAGAGAGAGAGAGAAAGGGAGAGAGGCAGAGACACAGGCAGAGGGAGAAGCAGGCTCCATGCACCGGGAGCCCGACGTGGGACTCGATCCCAGGTCTCCAGGATCAGGCCCTGGGCTGAAGGTCGGGCTAAATCACTGGGCCACCCGGGCTGCCCCCAATATCATATTTTCTTTCCTAAAATTATTTCAGAGATTTTTCTCTCATGGGAGAAGGAGAGGAAAGGGAGGGAAAATCAAGTGAATCCATATGAATGAATACATAAACAGAGATTTTAATTAACTTAATAATATGTTTAAAGGAAAGTAATTGTTCTTTTTCCTGATCAAATGGTAATAGTGTAAGCTAAAATTTATCTGTTAAAGATGTAAATTGATCTAATTTATTTAATATTCTTTTTAATTAAATACATATGATGTAATAGTATATCACCCATTTTTGAAAACCCAAAACAAGTATAAGGAAAAAACCAACCTAAAACTAAAAAATAAAAAACAAACTAAACATTAGGTTTAATACAATGGTCATTAATCCTTTTTGTGGTTACCAATCCTTTGCACACTACAGTGACAGACATCAGTAAATACCATTGTATAGGTGTTATTTTTATGTTTAAATTTAAGGCTAAGCTTTCCTTAGGAAATTTCTTTGTATACTTTTGTTTATTTTATAGTTTCACAAATTTAAAAAAAATACGTAGGTGGTGATGTTAAAAGTATAAAAGGTGAGAAGAGGAAATCCTCTCTAAAAATACCTGAGGGTATCTGTTAGAGGTTATGGTGGAACCACAGAAACACATTAATCCTGTCATTTCTCTCTTACGCAAAATTCCCCAGGAGCCAATACACAGGAGGAGCTGCAGAATGGAAACCAGAGAATAATGTTGCTAGTGGCTATAAGTGAGCTCTGCACCCCAATGAGGAGCTGCAAAAGGCCAGGTTGGCACCAAGGTTACATCAGCGACGCTGATTCACAGATCAGAAACGGCTACTCCCTCAGGAGGCAACATGAAAGATGAGGAGAAGCAGGTTTGGCTTGGAAGTAAATAAAATACTGTCTTACTTAGGCATCTATTATTTATGGTTTGATATATTTCCTTCCATACATTTTCTATGCTTATACAAAAAATTACTACTACTACTACACACATTGTTTTATCATTTGATTTTTCACTTAATAACATTATAACCTGAACATCTTTCATGTTATGTATGCATTTATTGCATTCCTTTTAACATCTGCAAAATACTTAGCTGTACCAAAATTTATTAAACATCTCCCTGCCCTGCTGATGGATATTAATTTCCAACTTTTGTTATTATAAACATTTATTCGTACTCTAAATAGCAGGTACCATAGAGAAAGATAATGTTTTAGCTGTTTCTCCCCGCTCCATGCCATGCCTTTCTATCCTTCTATGTGGTTACTTATGCACATGGGCAACAATTTCTCTAGGCTACGAGTAGAAGTTGACCAGCTCAGTAGATGGAAATACTAAATACTCCTCTTATTGCATTCATGTTAATAAGTACTGTTAAATTAAACAAGTGCTCTGTTTTAGGTCTATGTTCTTAGTCCTTTTTTTTTGCTTAAAAATGATTTTTTTCTTGAAAAGTTAAGACATATACATAATAAAAACACCAAATGGCAAAAAAAAAGGATATATGGAAAAAGGTCTTTTTTACCCTATTCCCCATTCCACACCTCTAGTGGCAAAGTTTCCTGAGTACTCTTTGAAGTGTGTGTGTATATATTTGTGAGTGCACAAATGAAACCATAATTTCTCTCTCTGTATGTATCTCTCTCTATGTGTACATATATATACACACACACATATACATATATATGTACACATACACATAGATATGTCATTTGTGTGTGTGCTTCTGCAACTTGATCTTTACATTAATAATATATCTTAAATATATATATATATATCTTAAAGATTATTCCATATCCAGGCCTGCATATCTCCCTTATGTATTTAAATAGGAGGATACCATAATGGTATCCTTTGGGAATAGGCCATAATTTAACCCATTTCGTCTTGACATACATTCAGATTGTTTCAAGGCTATTATAACTATAATAATTCTGTAATGAACATCTTTATTTCCCACATGTGATTTCAACAATAACCAGAAAAATCTTGTTGACATTTTTACTGGTATTGCATTCAGGTAATAATTTAATTTTAAGAAAGTTAACATCTTTATAATACTCAATTTTTAATTTACACATAGCAAATGCCATTTTATTCTCTCAAGATTCAGTCATATACATTCTTCATGTTTACTGTTATTTTTACTCTAAGGTATTTTATTCCTCCAAATATTGTTTTAAATGGGATTTTTTTTTCAATACATTTTCTAACTTGTGGTTCTTTAAAGTTACAGGTTATTTGTTACTACATTTAACAAGTAATTTTCCTACTGTGTTAACTTGTTTCCAAAAGTTTTCCATGTTGCTCTCTTTTAGTTGTGTGATTATATCATTCATAAATAGTTATCAGGGGCACCTGGGTGGCTCAGCAGTTGAGCGTCTGCCTTTGACTCAGGTTGTGATCCCGAGGTCCTGGGATCGAGTCCCGCATCAGGCTCCCTGCGGGGAACCCATTTCTCCCTCTGCCTATGTCTCTGCTTCTCTCTGTGTCTCTCATGAATAAACAAATAAAATCTTAAAAAAAATAGTTATCATTTGGCTCATCCTTTCCAATTTTTTATACATTTTTAAATTTAATTGGGTAGTACTTAATATTAGTTAAATGTGTTAACAATATTATCTTTTCTACACTTTAATGAAAAACCTTTCTGTATTTCACCATAAATCAAGTCACTTTCTTAGAAAAAAAAAACTAGAATAAATGGATAGCTCCTTACCTCTATAAAAATAACTGATATGTAAAATTTCAATTTGACTAAGAGTTTATCTGGAGCCAGTTAATTTTTAATGACTAAACTTGGTAGCTCCAACACCCCCTGTCCTGACTGCTTGGGAAAATTCTCCTTCCCACTGTCCCTCAGCTTTTTCTTCAGGTTTCCAGGTGCTCTCAGAGGCCATTTCAAACATACCCAAGGCAGGCAGGGCCTCCTTATTTTCTGTGCCCTGCTATCACTACCACAAGACTTTCAGAAAATGCTGCTTAGCCCAGCTATCCTCTACTGGTGACCAATGCAGCTGACCCATGCTGATCTCACCAAGGATGAGAGGGACCTCCTCTCCCTTCCATCATCCCAACCAGTGTGAGATAGATTCTCCCTTAATCTCACAAGACAGCTGGTATCAGGATTAAACATAACAAGACAATAGTAGAATAGGAAGTGAATTGGAAGAGAAATAGTATCACACATCCCAGACTGGTCTTTGGGGTCCCCTGTGGGATGGTAACCTGCCCCAATCTTCATCTGCTTCTAGATGTCAAGAAAACCTTTTCCTCCTGGAGTTTGGACAATACTAACTACCTGCCCAGAGAGGGGAGGAATCTCTTACATAAATGTAAAGCCCACTTCCAGAGTTCTTATTTTCTGTCCAGGATTGATAACTTCTAGAATCATAGTCAGAAGATCCATTCCCTTCTAGGAAGTGCTCATCCCTCATTCACAGGCATACGGTCTGTCCATAAGGCACCAGCAGGACAATCCCCGTGTAGCCTGACATCATGAAGATCACCAATTCTAAATGTGCTTTTGGGAGCTAACACCTGGTGAGAAGGCCTCTTTAAATTACTGTTAGATTATAGACTGACTTATTTTTAAAGGCTTTTTTTTTTTAAGATTTGCAGATGCAACAGATGTGACCTGAGCTAAGCAGGCAAAACTAGACACCCATGTGGAGGAAGGACTGACCAGTGCATGTTGCAGGGTACAGGAAGTGTCCTGAACAAAGGCTAATTGAGTTTTTGAGTATCATGAAGACTTTAGTAGCAACACTTCATTTCATATAAAGTCATAGGCAGGTCCAAGTCCCTGCTCCGCTGTGTCGGGTATACTTGGACCCAAGCTCCAGGTTGTAAATAAACCCTCGTGTGTTTGCATCGGTGTTGGCTCCTTGGTGGTTTCACGGATTCGCAATCTTGGGCACAACATTTGGGGGCTCGTCGGGGATCCAAGAAACCCCCAGGACCCCATCCGGAGGGTTTCACGCGTGGTGAGTGCACTCCACTTTTTCCACCTTTTGCGCGCATATTTCTGAGAGCTCTAACCTGAAGGAACTCCAATCTGTATGAGGTCGGCATTGGCTTAGGCGGACGCGCCGGCGGCCGTCGACGGGGGGGTCTTGAGGAGACGTCCCTTGCCCCTGCCTGGAGGACTGAGGTCCTCACCTGTAAGGAGGACGGGGTCCTCATCTGTAGGAGGATGGGGGTCCTCATCTGGAAGGAGGGCCGCTGCCAGCCCTTCGGGTTGCTTTCTGTTTTGTCTCTGCGGCCCCACTGGAACGTTTGTCTGTGTTACTGTGTCCTTGTCCTTGTTAACTGTTTGTGCATTTGTCTGTGTTGCTGTGTCTTTGTTAACTGTCTTAACTGTTTACATAAGGAGACGGAGATTTCAAATCTATTGCACATCAGAATGGCCAACCCCGAGAAGGAACTTTCCACCTACCTATTATCTTACAGGTTAAGGCCGTGATCTTCAGGGACAAACCGGACGGCCGCCCTGACCAGGTGCCCAACATCCTGGCCTGGCAGGACATGACCGAAAATCCCCCTCCTAGGCTAAAACCATTTTTACCCCCCAAAGCAGGACCCACGGAGGTTCTAGCCCTGCGGAAAGCCGAGAAGGAGACCGACTCTACGCCCCAAGCGCCCCTTTATCCGGTCTTGCAGGATTCCTCCCCGGAGGACCTGATTCTCCCGCCGCCCTACCGGGCACCCCCTCCCCCTTCCGCCCCTCCATTGGAGACACCGGGGGCTGCAGAAGGGGCGCCCCCCTCCCTGACGAGGGAGTCCCTGTGCACGGGCCAGCAGCGGGGCACGCGGTCGGACCCACCAGACAGCCCCACCTCTGAATGTGGGGCCTGCGGACTCCACCGCCCTTCCTCTCCGCACCATGCCCCCCCCCCCATGAGACTGGCGAACAGCTAATGTTATATTGGCCGTTCTCCACCAGTGATGTATATAATTGGAAAACCCAAAATGCAAAGTTCTCTGATAATCCGAGAGATCTAATCGGGCTTTTAGATACTGTTCTCTTTACCCACCAGCCTACTTGGGAGGACTGCCGACAGCTCTTGCAGGTTCTCTTCACCACTGAGGAAAGAGAATGAATTCAGGTGGAGCCCGGAAGTCTGTCCTGGGAGAGGACAGACAGCCGACTCAAAACCCAGACCTCATAAATGCTGCCTTCCCTTTATCCCGTCCCACCCGGGACTACAACTCGACTGAAGGTAAGGAGAGACCCCGGGTCCACCGCCAGACTCTAGGGGCAGGTCTCCAGGCTGCCGCGCGCGAGCCTCCCAATCTGGCCAAGGTCTAGGATATGAGGCAGGGTAAGGACGAGAGTCCAGCAGCCTTCTTAGAGCAAGTCATAGAAGCTTTTAGGCAGTACACCCCTATGAACCCAGAAGCCCCGGAAACAAAGGCCGCAATTATCATGGCTTTTGTTAACCAGGCCGCTCCGGACATTAAAAAGAAATTGCAAAAAGTAGAGAGGCTGGGAGAGAAGAGCTTGCAGGACTTAGTGATAGTGGCAGAACGAGTCTATAATAACAGAGAAAGTCTGGAAGAACAACAAACCAAACTAAGTGACCGGCAGACCCGAAACCTGGCCAAGATCCTGCTGGCCACAACCATGGACGACCCAAGGGAAAGACGGAGGCACCTCAAGAAGCTGGCTTCAGGGACAGGTAAGGAGGATGGCCCTGGTCCCCCTCGGGAGCGC